CCTCTGGTGTGGCCTGACCGTCTCTTTAATTCTCCCTCCTTCCTGCCTGTCTCTGCGGAACACTTGGAGGTTTTGATCCCAGTTGAGGATATGTGGAGTCCTGTAGCTCAGTGGTTAGAGCACTCGCTTTGCAAGCGAGAGACCTGAGTTCAATTCCAGGCAGAGGGCGAAACCTTGGGCAAGTTTCCTTACTCCACACGGAGCCTAACAATAATCCCTCCAAAAACCAAAAACAATAATAAATTGGTCATTTTCAATCTACGTCTGTTTGTGGGACATTGCTGTGCGCAATTGGCTGCCGCGTTCGCCCACAAATATACAGTCAATTCACTTTACAGTGTGTTCTGTGAAGCGCTTTGGGACGTCCTCCCGACGTGAAAAGCGCTATATCAAATGCAAGGATTATTATTATTATTATGTGAAGGTGTGTCTTGCTGAAATATATGCAAACGCCGAGAGGGTTAAGTCAGTGTTTAACCTCCGAGCAATGAGAGGAATGTGCCCATCGCCCCACCCAGTGAGAGAAGCTGACACTCTACACTGAGCTTATTCTTGTTATCTCTCTCTGTGGATCTTTCTCTCGCTCTCTCTCTCCCGCCTCTCTCTCCTCCCTTTTTCTCCACCTTTCACCGGGTGTCTCCCCCCTCTCCTCCCACGCTCTCTGGAATTAGGTAAGCAGGATTAGGTAATTAGGGAGAGAGTACACATTCCATTCCAATAAATATCTCTGCAATTTCAGGTGGGATGCATGGAATACTCAGTTTGGTTTGGATATTCATGGTGATGGGTTTCCGCATGTGTCATGGCTGACCCCCCCAAATCTATCGTTAACTCCCTCCCTTTTTCTCACTTTCTCTCTCACTCCACCTCTCTCTTCCCCCCCCCACTCTCTGCCTCCCTTTTCTCACACCTTCTCCAATTTCCTTTTCTCTTCCACTCTCTCTCTCTCTATTCCTGTCTCTCTCTCCCCCCTTTCTCTCGCTCCCAATTTCCTCCGCTCTCTCTCTCTCTCTCTCTCTCTCTTTCCCCCTCTCTCCCCCTCTGTGTGTCTCCCCACCTCGCCCTCTCTTGTTACACAATGAATGACTACACCATTACATTGGCTTGTTCTCTCGGAGCTGACAGAAACTCTGTCAATCATTATCGTCATCACAATTTCCCCACATGATACAACATTTCTCCTGTTATAACCGCTCCGCGAAAGTCTCAGACAATCGGAACGGACTGGTTCCTGAGTATGACAGTGACACACTTCAAAGGATATAATGTAAAGCGAGTTTTTTTTGGGTTGTTAAATGTGGCAACTAATTTTGCACACAGCAGTGTCCCATATACAGCTATGAAGTGAGGGACCAATTTTATTTGGGGGAATGCTAGCCAGGAAACCGCGGGATCTTTAAAGTCCACTTGAACAAGCAGATGGAACCTCGATTTAACGTCTCATCCAGAGGACAGCACTTCTGACAAAAAGTTCTCCCCGGTAATGCAATGGAGCATCAATCTAGACTGTGAGCTCAATGCTCATAGTTGTATCTGTGCATAGGATCTTATAAGGTGTGCATATTTGTTGCTGGGTTGACCTGTAAACACACAATGATGAACATTTGTGGGACACTGCTGTAGGAAATTGGCTGCCATGTTTCACCCACAAAGTATACAGTCAATCCACTTTGCAGAATATTCTGTGAAATCTTTGAGACGTCTCTACAACGTGTTAAGGCAGTATATCAAATGCAAGGATTATTATTATTACCAGTGGTCTGTGGTAGGACCACTGCTTTTCTCCATTTATATAAATGATCTGGATAAGGGGCATCATTTCTAAGTTTGCAAATGACACAAAAATAGGGGGTGTAGCTAACAATGAATAAGACTGTAAGCAACTTCAGAGAAATATACACAGATTAGTTGATTGGGCAGAGAAATGGCAAATGAAATTTAATGCAGACAAATATGAGGTTGTCACATTTGTGAGAACAAATATATGTTGGGTGGCAAAATATTAAAAGGAATGGAAGAACAGAGGGACTTGGGTGGGTTAAGGTACATAAGTTACAATGTGGAGGCCTGTAGCTCAGTACTTAGAGCACTCGCCTCGCAAGCAAGAGGGCTGAGCTGGGCAGCAGCTAATTGCGCACAGCAACGTCCCACAAACAGTCGTGGATTGAAAATGATCAATTTATTATTGTTTTGGAGGGATTATTATTAGGCGTGTGGAGTATGGAAACCTGCCCAAGGTTTCACCCTGCCGGGAATCGAACCCGGGTGTCTTGCTTGCAAGACGAGTGCTCTAACCACTGAGCTACAGGACTCCATACGAGGAGGTTAGGAAAAATGTTTTCATGCACAGAGTAGTTAGGATAAGGAATGCTCAACCGGGAGCGGTGGTTGCATATTAGCGTTCTAAACTGAACTAGATAAATACTTAAAAAGGAGTCTTGGAGTCCTGTAGCTTACTGGTTAGAGCACTCGCATCGCAAATGAGAGAACCTGGGTTCAATTTCTGGGCGGGGCAAAGCATAGGTGCTTCACAACGTGAAAGGTACTATACAAATATAATTTTGTATCGTATTAGGCAAGGCTTGTTATTCCATATGCCTCTGTTTACCGAGCAGTAAATAGGAACCTGGTCATTAGTCAATTGGCAAATCACTTTCAAGGAGTAATAATCCCTTCAAAAAAAGAATAATAATTTGGTCACTTAATCCACAAATGTTTGTGGGGCATTGCTGTGATCAATTAGCTGCTGCATTTCGCCTATAAAATATACAGTCAATTCACTTTACAGTATATTCTGTGAAGCACTTTGAGATGTCTCAATGGGGTGAAAAGGCGCTATATCAAATACAAGGATTATTATTATTACGGCTACAGGAATATGAGGAACGGGGCAGGTAAACGAAAGGATTGGTGTTTACAAGAGCCAGCACAGACACAATGGTGAATGGCCTTCTTCCGTGTGTAAATTTCTATGGTTCAATGTGATCTTTAGTGTGATGAGGGCTGTATGGATGTTCTGACTCAATGTGTAGGCATGTGGCGCTGTGCTGTTTTGAGGATCGCTAGTGGCAGGAACCGGTACTTGCAGCCGTCCTTTTTGGCAAGACTTCCTGAATGCAATCTCTCACTGTCTTAATAATAACAACAATGCATGTGTATAGCACCTTTCACGTCGGGCTTTGAGGAGGTCCCAAGATGCTGGACAATCAGTGTTCGTACTTGGGGTCGGCACTGGGGAGGGTGGAGGACGTGGGGGGGGGGGGGTAGGTGGAGGAGGATGATCGAAGGCACGGGCGAAAAGGAGGGTCTTGAGACGGGTCCCGAAGTAGGCAAGGGAGGGGTTGAGGTGGAGGAACTCCAGGATGGAGTTCCAGAGGGTGGGGCCAGAGTGGCTGAAGGCCCATCTGCCAATGGTGGGGGACGTGAAGCAGGCCAGAGCCCACTGAGCGGAGGGAGTGAGTGGCAGGTTGGTAAGGGGTTAAGAGGTGGCAGAGGTAGGGGGGAGCAAGGTGATGGAGGGCTTTGAAAGTGAGGACCAGGATTTTGAACTGTATCCTCTGTGTGATGAAAAGCCAATGGAGTTGGGCGAGGATGGGGGTGATGGGGTCGCAGAACCTGGTGCAGGAGAGGGCACAGGCTGCAGAGTTCTGGATGATCTGCAGCCTATGAAGGGAGGAGTTGGGGAGGCCGACAAGCAGGGAGTTTGCATAGTCGAGCCTGGATATTATGAATGTGTATATGAGGGTTTGGTGGCCTGCTTTGTGAGATATTGGTGGAGTCGGGCGATATTGCCGAGGTGGAGGAAGGCAGAGCGGGTCATGGCACAGATGTGGGGTAGAAAGGATAGTTGAGAGTCAAACAAGACCCCAAGATTCCGGACTGGCTCAGTGAGGTGGTGTGTGCAACCATGGATGGTGATGCTATCAGCGTCTGAGATGAGGAGCCGCTGACGGGAGCCAATCAGGAGAGCCTCGCTCTTTTTGACGTTCAACTGCAGAAAGTTAGCTCTCATCCAGGACTTGATGTCAGACAGACATTGTATCAGGACAGCAGTGGTCCTGGAGTCAAGAGTGGAGGCAGAGAGATACAGTTGGGTGTCATCCGCATACACGTGGAAGTTGACCCCATGTCTGCGGATGATGTCACCAAGAGGGAGCATATATTGAAAAGGAGGAGACCAAGGACAGAGCGCTGAGGAATGCCACACGAGAAGGTGCGGGGGCTAGAGGAGAAACCGTTTGTGGAGATGAAGTGGAGACAGTGTGAGACGTACAATCTGAACCATTCAAGGACACAACCATGAAGTTTGAGGTGAGAGGATTGGCAGTGGAGGAGGATAGAGTGATCAACGGTATTAAAGGTAGCAGAGAGGTCAAGGAGGACGAGGAGGCAGAGGGAGCCCTGGTCGCAGATGGACCAAATGTCATTTGTCACTTGGACCAAAGCTGTTTCTGTGCTGTGGGCGGCACGGAGACACGAAGGGAGGGGTTCGTGAAGGGAGTGGCGGGAGAGGAAGGAGTGAAGCTGGGAAGCAACAAATTGTTCCAGAACATTAATGTTTAATAATAATGCTTACATTTGATACAACGCCTCATCACGACATCAAAGGTGCACCACTTTGTTGTTGTTTGTGCAATATTGCTGTGTGCAAAGACAACAAATTGCACTTATACAGTACCTTTCAAGGCGGGAGGACATCCCAGACAATGAGGGGTGGGAAATGAGGGGTTTGCACCAGAGCTGCAAATTGGGATCAAAGAGGACAAGGTGGGTGGAGGAGGGAAGATGACCGAAGGCGCGGTCGAAAAGGAAGGTCTTGAGACTTGTCTTGAAGGAGGCAAGGGAGGGGACAAGGTGGAGGGGTTCTGGGATGGAGTTCCAGAGGGGCAAAGAGGCCGAAGGCCTGACTGCCAATGGTGGACAGGCAGGGCGGCGGAGTGGAGGGAGTGGACAGGTTGGTGAAGTTTCAATAGGTTGCAGAGGTAGGGAGGAGCAGGACCATGGAGGGCTTTAAAGGTGAACAGCAATGAGACTGCTCAGACCTTAGAGGCAGTGCAGAGAGCAACGAGGATCATCCCCAGTGTTAGAGGAATTTCTGGGTCTCCAGTGTTTGACACCTGGTTACTGCTGGCCCCCACTTGGAGCTATAATATAATAATCCTTGCATTTGATACAGCGCCTTATCACGTCATTGAGACGTCTCAAAGGGCTTCACAGAATATACTGTAAAGAGAATTGATTGTATATTTTGTGGGCGAAACGCGGCAGCCAATTGCGCACAGTAGTGTCCCACAAACAGTCGTGGATTGAGTGACCAATTTTTTTATTAAGGAATTATTACTCCCGGAAAAACGATCCACCAATTGACTAACAACCGGGTTCCTAATTGCTGCTCGGTAACCAGAGCCGTGCAGAGTAAGGAAACTTGCTCAAGGTTTCGCTTGCAAGGCGAGTGCTCTAACCACTGAGCTACAGGACTCCATATGGAGTTGTCCCCCACACGGAGCTGGTCTCTCTCTAACTGTATGCGATCTCTTTCCCCAGAGTTCTCTCCACAGGACTTGGCAGCACAAACCATCCAGTGTGCTTACCGCCAGCACCTGGCGCGTGTGGAGCACAACAAGCGGGTGAGAGAGAAGCAGGATTATGAGGAAGCCATGGATCGACTTCAACGTGAGGTGAATATCAGCAAACTGGGGCACAAGGACAGACCAGCACAGACACGATGGGGAAAGAGCTGAGCTCCGGCCTGCTTCACATCGCCCACCCTGGTTGCCCTATCTTCCATGGCCTTGCTCCTCCCTACTCTGTGACCTGCTAACCCCATATTGACCTGTCCTCACCCTCCTACCCCTATCCTCCCTGTCCTCCACCCCTCCTGATCCCAACCCCCAGCTCGGGTCCAAATCCCTGACTGTCCAGCGCCTTGGGACATCCACTCAACGTGAAAGACGCTGTACAAATGTAATATGTTGTTGATATTGTGTTGCTCAGGCCTTTGTGGCTATGGTGAAGAGGGAGCAGGAGATCGCTGAGAGGGAACGGCAGAAGGAGGAGATGGAGAGGCAAAGGAAACGGGAGGAGCAAGAGTGCAAAACCCGGATGCTGGAGGGTGCCTTTGAGGGGGATCTGGATGAAATACTGGCCGTGTTAAAGGAGGTTTGTGTACAATTATATTTTGGGGGGGTCGGCCGGGTGTCTGACACATGCGGAAACCCATCACCACACTTAAGAGTATCTAAACCAAGCTGAGAATTCCCTGCCTCCCACCTACACATGGAAAGCCCAGAGACAGACTGTTGGAATGGAATGCGCTCTCTCTCTCCCTGGAGGAACGCATAATGTTTACCTAATTCCGAAGAGTATTAGGCGCAGGTTGGCAAGAGCCAAGGCTTGGGGATCCCAGGGTGTGCGTTGGGGTAACTGCTGGAATCTAACCAGCTAAAACCGCACATTGATATCACTGTCTGGCAAGTTTTCCCGCTGCTTGTCCAGCTAGGACCATCCTACCCATTAGAGCTTTGGCTTGCAGGGATCGCATTCACACAGTGATATGGTAAGGCGCTATATCAAATGCAAGAATTGTTATTATTATAAATTGTCAGGAATTCCCTGCGAAGCGCTTTGACAATGAAAGTACAACAAGCGGTTATTGATCAGATCCTGATCATTGTGATGTTCCGCAGGTTGCTGACAGGGACAGCAAAGACCGGGTGCCTTTTGACGAGATTGGGAGGGTTGTTCGGCAGCGACACGAGATGGGAATGGTAGAGTGCACGGACGCCCACGGAAACACACCGCTCTCGGAGGCTGCTGGTGGGGGGCACCCGCCCCTCATACGCTTCCTGATCGAGAAAGGGGCAAACCCAAACTCCAAGGTACGGGCAGGTCGGACAAGGGTCTACACATCACCACAGAGGCAGAAGGTCACTCAGCCCGGCCAGTCCGTACCTGAACCCTGTGTCTGTCACTGACCCCCTGTGTGTGTGCTCTTGTGCCCTCTGGTGGTCATGCTTTCAGCCACTGCGACCCGAAACTCGAACACTCTTCCTCTATCCCTCCGCCTTGACCCCTCCTGCCCCATCTTCAGGTCGCGACTGAAGACCTTCCTCTTCAACCGTGTTTACAGTCACCTCCTCCCTGACGGCGTTGGGCTCTGCCACTGTTAAGCCCTCTGGGATGATAACCTGCGTGAGGAGCCCTATATACATGCAAGTTGTTGTTGTCACTGACGCCTTTTGTGTGTGTTGTTTGTAGGGAGGGTATGGGAGGACACCTCTGTACCGAGCTGCTTTCAGTGGACACCTGGCCGCTGTGGAAATTCTGCTTCAATTGGGAGCTGACCCTCGTATCTACGCCGATGATGGGAACAGACCTGAGGAGGTACTTCCCCCACACACCCCCTCACCCTACTCCTCACTCCCCACTCACTCTCCCCCTCCCCCTTGCTCTCTCCCACTCACTCTCCCCTACTCATACTCACTCTCCTCTACTTACCCTCATTCTCCCCCACAGGTAGAGAGCACAGACAGTGTATGTATGTGTTACACAGGTGTGGGCACAGACAGAATAACCAGTTTGTGTGTATATGTGTATGTGTTGTGACAGTGTGACCAGTGTGTGTGTGTGTTACAGGTGGGGAGCACAGACAGTGTGATCAATGTGCTGCAGGGCTGGGATCTCACCACCACGGACACCATGTTGCATAAGATGGAGGCAGTGAAAGAGAAAAGGCTACAGATGGAGCAACAACAGAGACAGAAAGAGGCTGCAAAGTAAGTCCGACAGAGGGTCCAGCTCCTGATACTGCTCTTGGTTCAGTCCCTACCAATTGCTCCACCGTTCCCCCCCCCCCCCCTCGCGCCCCACCGACATACTTTTATATTTTCTCTTTTCAAAAATCTCTTTGAAAATCTGGTCTGGTCGAACATCCCACAACCTGCTAACGCTCTCCAACCGCTCTCGTGACCTCTGTCTCTCGCCGGGTTTCTGGTGATCATCTGAAATTGATTTTCTCTAGCTACCAGCTATCAGACCAGGTGCCAGACATGTGAGACGATGTGTATTTTGTGGGCGAAATGCGGCAGTCAATTGCGCGCAGCAGTGTCCCACACACAGTAGTGGATTGAGCGACCACATTTTTTTGGAAGGGATTATTACCCCCGCAAAGCGATTCACCAATCGACTAACAACTGGGTTCCTACTTACCACTAGGTAAACAGAGGCGTGTGGGGTAAGGAAACCCCATACGCCGGGTTACCGGGAATCAAAGTTGGGTCTTCTCGCTTGCGCGGCGAGCACACTAACCACTATAATACGGTACTCCTCGCGGTATGAAAGGCACTGCATCAGTGCGAGGTTCAAGTCAGCGTGTCTGAGACTCTGTTGCCAGCACTGACCCTTTCCTATAGGAACGTAGGAACGGGAGTAGGCCAGTCAGCCCCTCGAGCCTGTCCTGCCATTATATTAGATCATAACTGATCTGTATCTCCACTCCAATTACCCACCTTTGCCCCATATCCCTTGATACACTGACCTAACAAATATCTTTCCACCTCAGTCTTGAAAATCTGAATGGATCCAGCACCCACAACCTTTTGGGGGAGAGTGTTCCAGATTTCCACAAGCCTCTGTGTGGAAAAAGTGCTTCCTGATTTCACCCCTAAATGGCCTCGCTCTAATTTTACGATGACGTCCCCTTGTTCTGGATTCCCCCACCAGAGGAAATAATTTCTGTAGCTGCCCTATCGAATCCCTTTATCATTTTAGACATATCAATGACTGAGACTCTGTTGCCAGCAATGGCCCCTCCTCACTGAGTCTCTGTCCCCCTCCGCAGGCTTCAGGACCAGGTGTCGGAGCTGACAAAGGAAGCTGTCCGGTCCCAGAAGGAGGTAATTCAGTGGAGGGCAAGGCGGGGGGATCGAGGGAGAGTGTTCCAGAGTTTCAGGGCAAATAGGCTGAAAGTGAGGCCACCGACAGTGGAACGATGGACACGAGGGACAAGTGGGAGGTTGGAGCCAAAAGAGAATGCCCACAAAGCACGAGACCCGATGGGTTAATGTGTGGGAACACAATCTATCAAATCCCTGCCGGTGGAGGTGTGGGGGAGGGGGTGGCTTTTGCAGGGATCTTCACAAATCATCCCACGTGATTTAAGTTTCTTTGTACCAAATTTATCATGAACGTAAAGGCTTTTTATCGTGAAGACAGTGTCCCTTTAAAAGATAAATTACGCCCTCTATCTGTCGTGAGTATCTGCCTGTTCAATCATCCAGTACCCCTCACTCCTGGTGTGATCTGAGAGTCGAGAGCTCCTCCAGTGGAGGAGCGAGCACCGGCACAGACTCAATGAGGAAAGAGCAGGGAATGGGATGAGAGGAGAGCTCCAGTGGGGGAGCCAGCACCTGTTAATCTTGTATTAGCCCCTGTGTAGTGTTATCACAATACTCCACACATTTTAACAGGAAACCCGTTTTCCATTCCTCAGATGCATAAGGCTTACGCAGAGTTAAATAAACGCATGAACGAGCACGACAAGTGTGAGCGGGACAATATGGGGAAAACAGCGATCACCTTGCAGGTAATTACTGAGCACGCTCAGCGAGTTAGCGCTCACATCAACCACAAGTCACAATGTCAATGGTCTGTACATTAGTGGTTAGCGCTCTCGCCTAGCAAGCGAGAGAACCCAGGTTCGATTCCCAGCAGAGCGAAACCTTGGACAAGTTTCCTTACTCCACACGCCTGTTTACCTAGTAGAAACCTGGTTGTTAGTCAATTGGCAGATTACTTTCTAATGGGGTAAAATAGCTCCAAAAAACAATAATTTGGTCACTCAATCCACGACTGTTTATGAGCCACTGCTAGGGCTGCTACCTTTCACCCACAAAATACACAGTCAATCCACTTTACAGTAAATTCTGTGAAGCGCTTTGAGACGTCTCAATGAAGGTGCTATATCAAATGCAAGGATTATTATTCCATCGATCACAGTCACCACACTCAGTGGTGAGCTAGCATCAGCAGTTCACCTCGCTCGTGTTATACATGACGTGTTTCTGGGGATGGAGTAACTGAGATCCATGTTTGCCTTTCAGGCTATCCATGATGCGGAAGCGGTATTGGAGGTGGCGAGGGCAACTGCCACAACAACACAGGAAAAACTCTCAGTGGCTAAGATGGAGCTGAGAGAGAAACAGCAGGAAGGTGATGCTCTACAGACCCCAGAACTGCTGTGTTACAAGCCATGTTGGACCCATCCTGACAGCAGCTCAGCTTAGTGCATGCTCCCAGTCCATCCTCTGTAGACTTTCTATAATAATCCTTGCATTTGATACAGCGCCTTACCATGTCGTTGAGACATCTCAAAGCGCTTCACAGAATTTAATGTAAAGTGGATTGACTGTGTATTTTGTGGGCGAAACATGGCAGCCAATTGAGCACAACAGTGTCCCACACACAGTCGTGGATTGAGTGACCACATTTTTTGGGAGGGCGGATCGTTCCCCAGCTATCCTTCAAATCCATTCCACCTCTCTCCACCTCTTCGACATTGCGCTCCTCCACCACTGCCTCTCACCGGAAGCCGCCGAGACCCTGATCCACGCTTTCATCATGTCCCGGCTTGACTACGCCAACTGCCTGCTCACTGGACTTCCCAACTCTTCCCTCCACAAGCTGCAGATTATTCAAAACTCTGCAGCTTGTGTCCTCTCCCACCCCCGTTCTTGCCTGACTTCGCTGGCTCCCCATCCCTCAGAGAATTGAAGACAAAACCCTCGTTGTCACCTTCAAAGCCCTCTACTGTCTTGCTCCCCCCCTACCTCTCTGACCTCCTAACCCCATATCAGCCTGTCCGTTCCCTCCACTTGATGGACACCAGCCTGCTTCAGGTACCCTGCACTTCCCGCCCCACCATTTGAGGTTGGGCATTCAGCATCTCTGCCCCCACACTCTGGAACTCTAACCCGCAATCCCGCCACCTCACCCACTCTCTTGCCTCCTTCAAGGCCCATCTATAGACCTTCCTCTTCAACCGTGCCTTCGGCCACCCTCACACCCCCCTGCCGTCCACCCATCCTGACCCCAACTCTCAGCTCGGGTCCAAAAAACCCTGACTGTCCAGCGTCCTGGGATGTCTTTCCGACACGAAGGGGACAATACAAGTCTAATTTGTTGTCGTTGTCTCAAAGCACTTCACAGAATATACTGTCATTTCAGTTTACGGTGTATGCTGTAAAGCGCTTCAGGACACCTCAGTGATGACATAAGGCGCTATATCAATTGCAAGGATTATTATTATTGTTATTGGGTGTCAGTGTGATTGAGCTGGGGTTTGGTTGATTGAGACTGGTCTGTTCCCATATTCCATCAATTTCCATCCTAGATTCCTCCTCCTTGCCAATGAAAGGGATAAACTGCAACATACGAGAACTGGATGACGTGCTCCTCAAGGACGTAGGGAACAAGATCCGGAATGATGGCAGGTGTGTTTCACCATCATTCTCCATCAAACCAGGTGTGTTTGACCAGAGCTGGACACAGTACTTCAGGGTACGTTCCGCTCCCTCTGCTCAGCAGGCTCCAATCTGCTCCATGTCCAATAATAATCCCTCCAAAACCAAAAACAATAAGAAATTGGTCATTTTCAATCTACGACTGTTTGTGGGACATTGCTGTGCGCAATTGGCTGCCGCGTTCGCCCACAAATATACAGTCAATTCACTTTACAGTATATTCTGTGAAGCGCTTTGGGACGTCCTCCTGACGTGAAAAGCGCTATATCAAATGCAAGGATTATTATTATTATTATTATTATGTCCGTACCCCCAGCCCGCCCCAACATCAGCAATCAGGCCTTCATTCTCTTCATCCCACAGTCTCTTCACCTCGCTTCCTCCCTTGCCTCCTTCAAGACCCATCTCAAGACCCTCCTCTTCGACCGCGCCCTCCTACCCCTATCTTCCCTGCCCTACATCCCTCCTGATCCCAACCCCCAGCTCAGGTGGAAATCCCTGACTGTCCAGCGCTTTGGGACATTCTCCCAACATGAAAGGCGCTGTACAAATGTAATTTGTTGTTGTTGTTGGTTACCTTGTTATCGATCTATGAATCCCTGTGTTTAATGACTTGCAGGTGGCCTCTTATCATTGACCCGTCCGGTCAGGCTGCTGTGTTCCTGCGTTACCTGGACACCAACTATGTCAATGCTCTAAACCCCAATCAAATGCAGCCGTCCGTCCTCCGCATCAACCTCCTCGGGGCCATCAGGTACCCTCTGATCTGGGGTGAGAGGTGGTGGAAGGGAGATCTCATCACCAGGGTCAGCACAGCACTGATCAAGGTGATCGAGAGGAGAGGGAGTGGAGCGAGCCTAATAACTGCTCCACAGGGCCTGGGTAGTGGGAACACTGTATGTGGAGGGATGGAGGCCAGGTTAGGAGAACAGATGGGGGATGGATGAATACTTCGGAGCTTTGCTTTATTGAGTCCTGTAGTGTAGAGGTCAGCATGCTCACCTCACAAGCAAGAGGACCCGGGTTTGAATCCCGGGCTGGGCAAAACCTTAGGCAAGTTTCCTTATTCCACACACCTCTGTTTCCTGGCAATAGGTAGGAACCTGTTTGTTAGTCGATTGGCAGATCACATTTCTGGGGGTAATAATTCCTTCAAAAAAGTAATAATAAAATTGGTCACTCAATCCACAACTGTTTGTGGGACACTGCTGTGTACAATTGGCTGCCGAGTTTCGCACAGAATAAATACACAGTCAATTCACTTTACAACGTATCCCGTGAAGTGCTTTGAGACTTTTCAACGACATGATAAGGCATCGCATCAAATGCCAAGATTATTATTTATTATTGTTATTATGTTGGGAATCTTTATAATACATTCCTCCAGGAAATAGAGAGTGGGAAACCTTGGAATGAGTCGGGGGAGTTCAGGGATGGATGGGTGGTGGGGAGGGGGGAGGAAAGGTGAGAAGAGGGTAAAGTTCCAGGGGAGGGTGAGGGCAACCCAGGGGGGCATGTGGGAATGGCTGTTTCTGGATCTGTACTCTCGTATGTTGTGGCAAGGATTCAGTGAAGGAAGGCTGAGTGAAATAGTCCAGGCAGGTGGGCGGGCAGATAGGTGGTGCGGAGAATAACTGAACGTCTGTCTCTGTTTGAGGTTTGGGAAGATGCTGGTGATTGATATGATGGAGGTGAACCTGATGGAAGTGGTGACCAGGATGATGGAGCAGATACAGACTGCACTGATGGACGAACTCCTCAATAAACAACTGCTCCAGAATGACCGGTAGGATTTTACACAACAACAACTTACATTTATATAGCACCCCTCACGCAGGGTAGTGTCCCAGAGAGCTTGATCGTGGCGGAGCACGATGCCGAGCCGGGGGGAGGGGGAGGTGACTGTAAGCACTGTCAAAGAGGAAGATCTTCAGGCGCAACCTGAAGATGGGGAAGGAGAGGGGGGCACGACCGAGGGATTGAGGGAGAGTGTTCCAGAGTTTCGAGGCGTAGGGCTGAAAGCGCGGCTGCTGATGGTAGAGTGGAGGGCATGAGGAATAAGCACGAGGCCGGAGCCGAAAGGGAATGCTCAAACCAACTCCAGATGTGTCCTGGCCATAAATGGACAGATTACTCCAGCTGAGGCCTGTCCAGAGCACTGTGAAGATAGAACATGACCCCTGTGGGTCTGAACTCAATAATATAATGTGTCAGCTTGGCTTGGATGGTAGCGTCAGAAGCTCGTGAGTCCAAGCCCCACATTGAGGCTTTGAATTCATAATCTAAACTGACACACCAGTGCAGGGCTGGGCTGGGGGAGCACTGAATTGTCAGAGGTGCCGTACTTCAGATGAGACATTAAACAGAGGTCCTGCCTGTACCAGTTCAGGTGGACATTAAAGATCCCATGGCACCATTGGAAAGAGAAGGGAGGTTTTCTCTCCTGGTATCCTGGCCAACAATCTCCCAGATAAAATTGATTATTCACTTTGTGGCTCTTGGTAGGACATCACTGCTGTGTTCACCTACAAATACAGTCACTACATTTCACAGCAAAATTCCGTGCAGTGCATTGCAACATCCTGACAACGTGACAATGCATTATATCAAATGCAAAGATTATTAATGATTATTAATTGTGAATAATGAAGGTGGAGTCCTGTAGAGTATTGGTTAGAGTGCTCACCTCGCAAGCGAGAGGACCCGGGTTTGATTCCCAGGCGGGGCGAAACCTTAGGCAAGTTTCCTTACTCCACACACCTCTGTTTACTGAGCAGTAAGTGGGAACCCGGTTGTTGAGTCGCTTTCCAGAGGTAATAATCCCTTCAAAAAACTATTTGGGTACTCAATTCGCGATTTGAGTGTTTGTGGGACACTGCTGTGCGCAATTGGCTTCTGTGTTTCGCCCACAAAATATGCAGTCAATTCACTTTAAGGGTATACTCTGCGAAGCACTTTGAGACATCTCAACGACGTGATAAGACATTATATCAAATGCAAGGATTATCATTATTACTATAGCCCAGGGTACTGTTTGCATTGTGTATTGCTGCTCTCACTGGTTTCAGTGCTTGTTTGCCGTTGTCCGTTCTCCCTGTGTGCAGGTTCTCTAATAACTATTGTCCCATTTCTGGATCCTTTGGTCCTAGCTACCTGTCGCTGATCCGAGCTGGAGACGGCCCGGAATATTCTCCCATGGAGTTCTCACCCGTGCGAGCCGAAAAATTCAAATTCTTACTCATAACGAAAGTACAGAATCTTCCGGATGAAATGCTCAGCACTTTCTACCCCATTCACATCGTCATTAACAACTCAGGGAGATAGATAGCATGCAGACATAGGCGAGAATGAAGAGGATGAAGAAGATTTTTTTTTACACACGTTTACACTACATTATTTTTGTCCTGAATCCATTGATTAGACAATTGAACAGAAGAAATTGTTGACGTGAGGACAGAAAGGAACATTTAAAGATAGGAGTGATCGAGGCGTCTCTTAAAGTAGCTGTGATTTTACAAACTCAATTAAAATGAGTTGGATTTACAGAATAAGTTGCGTTACATTTGGTTTTTACAACATGCTGTCGGCCACTCTGAGTTCACAGCCTCTTCAATACCTTCTAATCTTCTTTTGAAAGCAAATTAGATAGATTTTTGGGGGAAATATTATCGTGGGAAACAGTATATAGTTTGGGACATGACGTGGTGGTGGAAGGCGAACTGGGTGGACCTTGGTCTTCTTTCATCATGCAAATTCTTATGTCCTTATGTACCTATTCCTACTCTTGCCGCACTTTACTGTCACTGCCCTGCCCTCCCTCTCCGATCTCAGAGTGAAGTGTTCCCCATCACCTGAGGAATCCACGTGGCCAGATCCACAGCTATTAGTCCCTGCCCCATATCACAGATCACCATTCCCTGCCTACCTAATTCTGGAGAATATTAGGCACAAGTTGGCAAAAGCCAAAGCTTGGGGACCCCAGAATGTGCACTGGGTAACTGCTGGAAGCTCACCAGCTAAATCTGCATAGCCTGCCATTGATATCATTCTCTGGCAAGCTTTCCCCCTGCTTGTCCAGCTTGAGCAGGTGCTCTTGGTGATGGGGAACCAATGGAGCCAATGGAGATGGGCGAGGATCGGGGTGATAGTGTCGGGAGCCAGGTGCGAGAGAGGACATGGGCTGCAGACTTCTGATTCATCTGCAGCCTGTGGAGGGAGGCGTTGGGGAGGCCAAAAAGCAAGGAGTTTGTGTAGTTGAGCCTGGATGTGATCAAAGCGTGAATAAGGATCTCGGTGGCCTTCGGTGAGAGACTGTGGTGGAGCCGAGCAATGATGCGGAAGTGGGGAAAGTGGGGGAATGAAGGACAGTTGAAGGTCGAACGGGACGGCAAGTTTCCGTATTGGCTCCATGAGGTGTCGTGCGCGTCCATGGAGCGTGATGCTGCCAGTGCCCGAGGTATGGAGCCAACCAGGAGGGCCTCGGTCTTATTGACATTGAGGATGTTTGCTCTCATCCAGGACTTGATGTTCGGCAGGCAGTCTGTGAGGACAGTAGTTGTCCTGGAGTCGAAGATGGAGGCGGAGAGGTAGAGTAGTGTCATCCACATACGTGTGGAAGTTGACCAAATACCTACGGATCATGTCAGGATCTGTGTTCCAAGAGGGAGCATGTAAATGTTGAAAAGGAGGGGACCAAGGACAGAGCCCTGAGCAGCAGCTACTTACCTGTCTGCAAACCGATCAAAGTGGATTCCAAGTACTGGATGCATGAACATGTGCTCATGAACTCGGACACCAGGTAATGCCTTCCAGCAGCTGTCGCCCCAAGCCTCAGTTTTCTCATTAGATATCTGATGGACATCTGCCATCAATTTGATGGGAGGACCTTTACAGGACAGCCTACGACGTACCAGCCACCTCAGGGTTTGGAATGTGTTTGGGATCTGGGTTTGGGATTAGGGGTTGGGGTCAGGTTTGGGGATGTGTTATCTCGCTGCCTCCACCCTTGACTCCAGGATGTCTGTCAGACATCAAGTCCTGGATGAGAGCTAAATTTCTTCAGTTGAACGTCAACAAGACCGAGACTGTCCTGATTGGCTTCCGTCAATGCCTCCTCTCCTCAGGCACTGACAGCATCACCATCCATGGTTGCACACTCTACCTCACTAAACCAGTCAGGAACCTTGGGGTCTTGTTTAACCCTCAACCGTTCTGCCTACCCCACATCCATGCCATGACCCGCTCTGCCTTCCCCCACCTCTGCAACATGGCGCAGCTCCGCCACTGTCTCGCACTTTAGGCCGTCGAGACCCATATACACGCAATCATAACATCCAGGCTGGACTACCAAACTCCCCGCTTGCCGGCCTGCCCAACTCCTCTCTCCATAGGCTGCAGATCACCCAGAACTCTGCAGCCCGTGTCCTCTCCCGCACCAGGCTCCGTGACCCTATCACCCCCATCCTCACTCGACTCCACTGACTTCCCATCACACAGAGGATACAGTTCAAGATCCTGGTTCTCCCCTTCAAAGCCCTCCATGACCTTGCTCACCCCTACCTCTGCGACCTCCTAACCCCTTACCATCCTGCCCGCTCCCTCCGCTCAGCGGGCTCCGGCCTGCTTCACGTCCCCCGCCTGCCCCCACCCTCTGGAACTCCATCCCGCAGTCCCTCCGCCTCGCCTCCTCCCTTTGCCTCCTTCAAGACCCTCCTCTTCGACCCTTCGTGCCTTCGGTCATCCTCCTTCCCCTCCTGCCCTCCACTCTCCCCAATCCCAATCCCAATCCCCAGCTCGGGTCCGAATCACCGGTTGTCCAGCACTTTGGGACGTCCTCCCGACGTGACGGGCGCTGTACGAATGTCATTTCGTTGCTGTTGTGAACGTTGCCCGACTTTGATGAGTGTTCCCAGCGACTTCTGTCGTTGTCGTCGCGGTTGGGATGAGGGTCAGGTTTGGGGGAATGTGTTTGGGATCAGGAGTTTGGGTTAGGTTTAGGGTGAGGGATGTGCTGTTATTAGGGGTTGGGGGGGGGTTCAGGCTGTTCTCCCCTCAAGCTCAATTGCAGTCAATGTTGCGTCTCCT